TTGGTCCTTCCTTTTGAAGATTCTGAGAGATATGGGCTTCGGAAACAAATGGATCAACTGGATTAAGGTCTGTATATCTACTGTGAAGTTCTCCCTTATCATTAATGGCAATCCTGAAGGGTTTTTTCAGTCACAAAGAGGTTTGAGACAAGGTGACCCCATGTCACCATTCCTATTTATCTTAGATATGGAGGGTCTCAACTCCATGATCAGGAAAGCAGTTGAAAATGGGTGGTTGCAAGGTTACAGTGCAAATGCAAATAGGGGAGATGCTATGGAGATCTCACACCTGCTTTATGCAGATGACTCCTTGGTCTTCTGTGGAGCTGAAGTAAATCATATAAGACACTTGAGGGCCATCTTAACCATCTTTGAGGGAATATCAGGACTCCATGTCAATTGGCATAAAAGTTGTTTATACCCAGTTAATCAGGTTCCTAATATGTAGGTGCTAGCTGAGAACCTAGGATGTCAGGTGGCCTCCCTCCCAACAAAGTACCTTGGAATGCCCCTTGGTGCTAAGAACAAAGAGGTGGAAGTTTGGAATGAAGTACTGGAAAGATGTGAGAAGAAGTTGTCAAGGTGGAAAAGCCAATATCTATCCTTGAGAGGCAGAATAACTCTTATCAAATCTGTGATGGATACACTTCCTACTTATATGATGAGCCTATTCCCAATACCAAGAAGTATAGAGAAGAAAATCAACAAATCAAGAAGAGTCTTCCTGTGGCAAGGAAATAAAGAGAAGCTTGGGTATAATCTGGTTAAATGGGATGTAGTGACACTCAACAAAATGCAGGGTGGTTTGGGTATAAAGAAGTTGAATATGCAAAATATCAGCTTGTTGAAAAAATGGCTATGGAGGTTCTGTAGTGAAGATATGGCTTTGTGGAGGAGATTCATATCACAAAAATATGGTCTCCAAAACAATTGGATCACTGAAGAAGCAAATGGTACCGTTGGTTGCTCTGTCTGGAAGACAATCAGAAGACTGTGGCCATCCTTTATCCCCAATCTATCCTTTAGGATTGGGAATGGGGTGAAAACCAGTTTCTGGAATGAACTTTGGCTAGGGGAAGAGAATTTGAAGATCATATTCCCAGATCTTTATGTATTGAGCCTACAACAGATGGACACTGTGGCACAAGTGTGGAGCCCTCAAGGTTGGGATTTGATCTTTAGGAGGGCTTTAAATGACTGGGAGGTTGATAGAGTAGCAGGATTATTACACACACTATATGCTTTTCCAGGTGTCACTGAAAGTCCTGATACTCCAATCTGGAAAATGCACAAGAAAGGGATTTTTTCTGTGAAGTCTTGTTACTGGAGCTTAAACTCTAACCAGGCTATGGAAATGGAATGGCCTTGGAAACTAATCTGGAAAATCAAGGTTCCCCACAAGGTCTCAGGTTTTATTTGGTTGGCAATTAGGAAAGCATGTCTAACTCATGAAGTGTTACAAAGAAGAGGTATACAGATTTGCTCAAGGTGTTTCATGTGTGGGGAAGAGGCAGAAGTTAATAGTCACTTATTCTTACACTGCAGAACAGCTGCAAATCTGTGGGACATGTTCTTATGTATACTTGGAATTAACTGGGTAATGCCCAAAACTACTTTAGAGTTGTTGAGACAGTGGGAAGGAGTGGGCAGAAGAAGAAGATCCAAAGAGGACTGGTGGAAATGCATCCCAGCCTGCATCTGGTGGACATTGTGGAAGTAAAGAAATGAAAGATCACATGATGGGAAACTTAACAGCACTCAGAAAATCAAGATGAATAGCTTGGGCCTGCTGTATTTTTGGTGTAAACAGGATTTGGTGGGGGAGGTAGATAGCTTAGTGGATTTTAAAGCTCAATTGTAAAGTTTTGCCCAGTTTTTGGCTTTTGAAATTACCCCCTGGGGGCTGTAAATCCCACCTCATCAGGCTTTACTGATGAGTTTTGATGTGAATATAAAGTTACCTTATCAAAAAAAAAAAAAAACATGAATACAAAGTCACAACTGCCTCCTAGATTCCTTGAAGCTATGCCGCATCATCATCCTTTTTTCCACCAACATCAAAAGAATCATGAGCTTGAACCTTTTGTACAATATGCCAGCCATTATTTGCAAGATCATCAGCATAAAACACTTGTGATGCTTGATTGGCTAATATAAAAGGCTCATTTATTTTCATAAATCGCTTGCAATTGACACTTTTTTTTTTTTTTTGATGACAAGGAAACCCGCAGCCGCTACCCTTTGGGTGCGCACAGGGTAAAACCCCCGCTCCTATGCAATAGCTCACAAACCACATAGGAGAGGTAACCCACACTAGGCAAGCCCGATGCGACGAGCTCGACCCAGAAGGCAAACCCCTTGCTATCGCAAGTAAGGGGTTTCGAACTTGAGACCTCCAACATGAAAGTCCCAAGCCCAAACCACTGGGCCACCCCTAAGTCATATTCATCTACTTTGATTCCCCTTTGTTGATCATATACGTCAAACCACATACATCGAAATAAAACCACTCTTCTCCCACCAGTAAATTGTAATTCAAGAATCTTAGTTAACTCTCCGTAATAATCAATATTTTTATTCTCTTCATCTGTCTCACAAACTACAACCACCCCGCAATTTTGAGTTCTCAAACCTTTATCATGATCTCGCATATGAAACCTATATCCATTAGTAACATAGATTTTTAAACATGTCACATATGGAAGAGGACCACGTGACAATGAGAGCAAATCTTTTATTTTCTTACTCTCAACGTGTTTGTGCAATTCCGCAACCTATCAAATTTTAGTACATTGTTTAGAAAATATTATTCATAAGTTGATTTAATATATACAAATGCTTAACTACTCACCTTTATTTTTAACCAACTAATGAATTGTCTAATCCATTCGATCTCTGAATGATTTTTGGATGTTTCAATTGAAATTTGTGAAAATTCTCTGCAAATTATTTGAAGTATAACATGTCATTTTATGTAAGGATATGGAAAATATAAGAGTAAATTATTTGAATGAGTCATTACTTACTCGAGAAATGGTTGAATTTCATCACAGTTCTTCAAAATATAAAAATGTGCAAGCTCAAATTCACTTGAATCAAGATTGCGTGGTTTTCACCCCTCAAACTTTTTCCAGGTTGAGAAAAAATTTCTAAACCTCCATCAGATTCAATAGAACCACCATCATAATTCCTTTCATGGCGATTAAATTTTGTCTCCATCGTATGCAAATACCTTGAACATAAGGTCAAACATTCAAATGATATATATCCTTGTGCAATACAACTTTCTGGGCGAGCCATGTTACGAATAAATGATTTTAGAAAGTAATCGCTCCACTGGATACATCCATCAATATTGGATAGGTCCAGCAATCTTAGCTTCATTAGCTAAATGAATTGGCAAGTGGACCATGATATCAAAAAATGCAGGAATTAAGACTTTTTCTAACTTGCACAAAGTTATTGGAATTTGGGCTTCTATTTTCTCTAGCTCATCTATTCTTAAACATTTTGCTCCGAGTATCTTAAAAAATATTGACAACTCAATAAGTGGTTCAAGCACAGATTTGCAGAGCATACCACGTAAAGCAAGTGGAAGTAAATGTTGTAGAATAACATGGCAATCATGGCTTTCTAATCCTGAAAGTTTTCTATCTTTAAGGTTGACACACTGAGAAATATTTGATGAAAATCCATCTGGAACCTTTAAATTCTTTAAGGAAGTGAAGAATTTGTGCTTCTCTGTAGGAGATAATGTGTAACTTGCAGTAGGTAACTCATATTTATCTCCCTCTCTATCGGATGCAATTCCTTCTTTATGTTCATTGCTTACAAATCCAATTGAGAATTCAAGGTGTCTTTGGTTTTTCCTTTGACATTTAAGATTGTCCCCAAAATATTATCACAAATATTCTTCTCAATGTGCATCACATCTAAATTATGTCGCAACAATAGAGTATTCCAATATGGAAGATCAAAGAAAATACTCTTCTTGTTCCAATTATCACCCCTATTCTTGTATGATATTTTAATCTTCTTCCTTGGATCCTTTGTTTGTGTTAGACCTTCTGAATAACCTACTTGATCAAGTATATCATTACCAGATAACGTTTTTGGCAGTAATCTTTGCTTATTTGTGCCATCAAAGGAATCTTTATCTTTCTTCCATTTGTGATTAAGAGGAAGAAAGTGTCTATGATGCATATAACACTGCTTTTGACCATTATCCAACCTAATTGAAATAGTTTCTTTATTGCCACACGGGTAAGCCAATTTTCCTTTGGTACTCCATCCTGAAAAAATTTTCATATGCTGGAAAATCATTAATGGTCCATAACAAAGCTGCATGTAGCATAAAATTTTATTTAGCTGACGCATCAAAGGTCTCAACTCCAGTTTCCCATAATTCCTTTAATTCATCTATCAAAGTTTGGAGATACACATCAATTGCATCCCCGGGACTTTCAAGACCAGGAATAAGCATTGATAAAATAAAATTTCTTGCTTCATGAATAACCTAGGTGGCAAATTATAAGGAATAAGTACCACATGCCAAATGCTATATGGAGTTTTCGAATTTTTAAATGGTTGAAAACCATCACTAGCAAGTCCAAGTCGAACATTACAAGGCTCAATACCAAAAGATGGATGAAGTTCATCAAGTCTCTTCCATGCAACTGAATCAACTGGGTGCCTCATTATTCCATCATCAACTCTTTCATCATGATGCCATCTCATCAAAGAAGATGTTTTTGAGGACATAAACAATCTCTGAAGTCTTGGCTTTAGAGGAAAATAATGTAAAATCTTGCATGGTATTTTTTTACCACGTTTAGATTGTGCTTCCCCATTGCGTTGATTCTCCTTCCATCTAGATGCGCCACACACTTTGAATAATTCGAGAATCTTATCATCCTTCCAGTATAAAATGCAATTGTTTTTACACGCATCTATATTCTGATAAGTCCAAGTTTTCGAATTACCTTCTTTGCCTTGTAATATGAATCTGGCAAGTTTGATCCATCAGGCAATAAATCTTCCTTTAGCATCTTCAACAACATTGTGAATGAAGCATTACTCCATTGGCCAATACTTTTAATATGAAGTAACTTAATCAAAGTAGAAAGTTTTCTTGCTTTCGAACCTTCATATAATGGTTGTTCATAATCATTTAATAGGCCGTAGAATCGTTTTGCTTCAGGATTTGGTTCTTCCTCAACAAAATCATCACTGTTAGTGTTCATATTCTCTTCAATGAAATCAGGGTGTAAATCCCTTAAGAGCTCATGCATTTCATCCTCATCATCATCATTTTCAATGTTATTGTCCTCTACGAATTTAGAATTTGACTCTGGCTGACCTAACCTCCCCCCGTGATGATACCAAAAAGTATAACTCTAAATTATTCCTTACACTAATAGATGTGACCTAACCATCTCATGAGTTTTGGAAGATGCATTACAACACCTGATGCATGGACAACGTATTTCTTGTGTTTCTCCCAATTTTGTAAAAGCATAATCCAAAAATTTCTCCACCCCAATGATGTAAGCATTATCAAGTCTATCTTGAACAAGTTGCATCCATTCCTTATTAGGTGCCATAATCTTCATTCAACAAAAGATATTATAAATACACCAACATAAGTAAGAACTAACCATTTATTGTTCAAAAGTTGAAGAAGACCTCTTTCTGAAAGATTCTAGGTAAGTTTCAGAAAACTGATTATGTGATTTTCAATTAGTTATTTGTGTAGTGATTGCTCCAATTATAAATGTACACTTAGTTCATGTACATTTACAGAAGTCAATATTTATTATGTCTTATTGGGAAGTGAAATATAATCCGGAGATATTTAACATTAGAGCGATGTTTCAGTTATAACTTTTGAGATAGATGATGGAAATATATATGGATAATACATAGAATAGTAAACACATGTTTCTGAGTGAGAAGTGCAGTGAAGATGACATGAAAATAGTATAAATCAAGAAAGGTGTGATTCTTAGATGATGCATCAAAAAAAACAAATGCTAAGAGATTTAAGAGACTTGATACATCACTATTCTCTTTTGTAAGTACAATAAATATTCATCATTTTAATAACGGATTAACTAGCTAGCTAAGATTACTAGTCAATTTAATTACTATCAATCACTTAAGAAAGACTTACAATTACATTTTATCTTTATATGTATCTTAAAATTGTTTCACTCTTTTAGATAGGAGGCTCGAAGGTTCGGAGATTATATTACTTTGCTGAGATTATCGAAACTCTTTACAATTTGTAGATTGTCATTTAGCACTTATCCAGATCTTTAGGCCTTTGTTACTAACTCTGATCTGTTTACTTTCGGTTATTACCATAAGGGGCTGCAATTTTAATACCTAACATATCATTAGTAATAACAAATCCTCAAATGCTAAGATTATTAGTTTCTTACCTTATTCCTTGTGAAGAAATTTTTTATATCTCTAATGCTCGCTATGGAGTAGGACTTCAGAAATATATTAGCAAGCTGGGTAATGAATTCTCCAAAAGGTATGGTTCAATTCAAGTAATGAAGAGCATGTCAAATTTTGGAAAGATAAATGGCTTGGTAGAAACACCTTATCTTGGTTTATATGATATGGAACTTCACAAGGTCTTCTCAATTGCCAAAAACTGGAGCAACAACATCTGGAATGTACATTTAAGAAGACACCCTCAAGCCTAGGAGTTAGAGGGCTTGCTGGAATTACTAGCCAAGGTGGAAGCTTCCAATAGTGATGCAAGTATTCCGGACAGAATGACTTACAGAAGTTTATTTTGGCATTTGGAGCTTATTTTTCAACATTTTTGGATTGAGATGGGTTACCTCAGGTTTAGATAGAGGCATATGTGAGCTGGAGTTGTTGGAAAGTTGATAAGACCATCAAGAACACCTTGTTGATGATCCCTGCTGCTATTTTTGGAGCCTTCTGAATGAGAGAAACAGAAGGTGGCTTGATGGAAAATATTGTCCCAAATAACTCCAAGTCGTCATCTTATCCTAGTTTATATGATATGGAACTTGACAAGGTCTTTTCAATTGCCAAAAACTGGAGCAACAACATCTGGAATGTACATTTAAGAAGACACCCTCAAGCCTAGAAGTTAGAGGGCTTGTTGGAACTGCTAGCCAAGGTGGAAGCTTCCAACAAGGATGCAAGTATTCCGGACAGAATGACTTACAGAAGTTTATTTTGGCATTTGGAGCTTATTTTTCAACATTTTTGGATTGAGATGGGTTACCTCAGGTTTAGATAGAGGCATATGTGAGTTGGAGTTGTTGGAAAGTTGATAAGACCATCAAGAACACCTTGTTGATGATCCCTGCTGCTATTTTTGGAGCCTTCTGAATGAGAGAAATAGAAGGTGGTTTGATGGAAAATATTGTCCCAAATAACTTCAAGTCGTCATCTTATCCTAGTTTATATGATATGGAAGTTGACAAGGTCTATTCAATTGCCAAACACTGGAGCAACAACATCTGGAATGTACATTTAAGAAGACACCATCAAGCCTAGAAGTTAGAGGGCTTGCTGGAACTGCTAGCCAAGGTGGAAGCTTCCAACAAAGATGCAAGTATTCTGAACAGAATGACTTACAGAAGTTTATTTTGGCATTTGGAGTTTATTTTTTAACATTTTTGGATTGATATGGGTTACCTCAGGTTTAGATAGAGGCATATGTGAGTTGGAGTTGTTGGAAAGTTGATAAGACCATCAAGAACACCTTGTTGATGATCCCTGCTGCTATTTTTGGAGCCTTCAGAATGAGAGAAATAGGAGGTGGTTTGATGAAAAATATTGTCCCAAATAACTACAAGCCGTCATCTTATCCTGATTTATATGATATGGAACTTGACAAGGTCTTCTCAATTGCAAAAAACTGGAGCAACATCTGGAATGTACATTTAAGAAGACAGCCTCAAGCCTAGAAGTTAGAGGGCTTGCTGGAACTGCTAGCCAAGGTGGAAGCTTCCAACAGTGATGCAAGTATTCCGGACAGAATGACTTACAAAAGTTTATTTTGGCATTTGGAGCTTATTTTTCAACATTTTTGGATTGAGATGGGTTACCTCAGATTTAGATAGAGGCATATGTGAGTTGGAGTCGTTGGAAAGTTGATAAGACCATCAAGAGCACCTTGTTGATGATCTCTGCTGCTATTTTTGGAGCCTTCAGAAATGAGATAAATAGAAGGTGGTTTGATGGAAAATATTTTCCCAAATAACTCAAATCCGTCATCTTAAAGCTAGTTTTAGTTCTATCCTTTTTTGGACAAAATTGTCCCCAGTAACTAGTTCAGTACAACTCAAGGATTTTACTAGTTCTTTACTTCTTGATTGATTTCGTATCAAGTGATAGGTGAATTGAGAGAGGATAGAGGATCACGCTTACAAGTAGTCGTTTCATCATCATTCGTTGACCCGACATATATTTGGGTCAAACAAAACAGAACACTAGTGTTGAGCAGTGACGACGAAAGGCTATATTTCTTCTTTCAACACGTGTCACTATTGAATAAATTCTCAACTTTTATGATTTTTCCTATTAAATATATCATAATTAACAAAAGAAGATTCTGTAAATATCATATTATATTATACAGTTGCAGCTAAACACCTAAGAACCCTTGACAATACTTCATCATCTATTAGCAGTAACTAAAGTAGCAGGTTAGCAGGTAAAGCAACAGCTAAATACCTAACAACAGCTGCTAGCAACAACTAAGTCGACAATCCAGGCCAACAACATGTTGTATACTTTATTTTTTTTAAAACACAGCAGTTTGTAGGCACTAACAGAAGATATCAAGTTATGACAATAATACAAGCTTCAAAAGTCCATCAGCTCAGACACAAAGAAACAGAGAGTACACATTATGCAATAGATAAGAATACTAGTTAAACATCTAACAAAAGTGATGTGGATGTCTTAGGGAAGCCTAAAAATCAATTGATCAGTGTTAGTACAATTATCATTTCTAAGCAAAGACACAAAATAGTGGAGCAGGGATATAAACAGTGAACTGTTGTTGAATTTCGTAAAGATGAGGAACTAACAGTTCATATTAGAGGCAATAATTTTTTCCATTTTCTTTTCCTCTTGTCCTGCAAGAGTTGTAAACTTCTGTTCAAAGCCTAAAAATGAAATGTTTGTCAATTTTTGTTGGTAACAGTTTAGTGTTCAAGTTACTCGCCCTCTTTTATGAACTTAAACTTTCCTTACTACACAGCTTACATCCACTAATAATTGAAATTTACGGTACATAAGTTATTGATATTTTTCATGCTCTTACTCACTGTTTGGCTCAAGTTCTATATCACTATAAGTGGATCCTCCATCAACTATCTAACTCGACAAAAGTACGCAAAGTGGACCACTCGCACACACAAGTAAGGATGGTGAAAATATCAATATGAATAATATATATATAATATATATATATATATATAAGTTCAAGAACACCAAAAAAAAAGAACGAAAAAAACCCAGATGAAACCCATAATTGGGAAAAACCTAAAATCGAACAAAATCAAGCATTCCACAAGGCAATTCATAGTTATAATAACAAAATCATACCTGGAAGATATGTAAACACCAAGATAGGGTCTGAATAATGTCAATTGAAGCAAAGTTACAACAAGTCGTAAGAAGAGAAAGACGATTTTGTTGTTCTGCAATCAAACAAGCGAGATGCAGATCATATTTTTATAACGTTTAACAGAGAAACATGTGTTACTGTATATGCTAATTTTCCTCTAACAAACCTTGGAGAGACGCACCCAATTAGATCTCTGCTTAGCTGATTTTATTCAAAGAGAACATGGGAGAGAAGGTGCTTGCGAAATTTCCTCCAACGATTCCTGATTTTTCTCTAACCATCGCTCCATTGACTATAGATGCTGAGAAAATTGAGCTTTTTTTTCACTTCTAGAGAGAAAAATATGGCAATGAGGAAAGTTTACGCAGGACTTTATGTTTTCTTTTTGGAGAAGTGGGAGAGTGGTAACACGTGTGTAGTGGAAAAATAAGGAAATAATGAAACTAAAATTTCAATACTTTTTTTAGTATATAAATAATTAATAAATTGATATAAATACTTTTAACGTCTGGATATTATACTAACTCTAATTATATTAAATAAAAAAAATGGACCTTTAACGACTGGAAAAAAAATGTGTCGCTATAAATACACTTTTAATGACCGGATTCATATCCCTTCATTAAGAAGTGGTCGTTAAAAGTACAATTTCTTGTAGTTATTACTCCAAGTTTGAAGGCTTATAAAACATTCCAATAATAAAGATATACAAGATATAAACAAAATATAGTTACTACTTTTTCTCTGTTTTTCTTTCTTTGTTATTTTAGTTTAATATTCTCCTTTTATTTTATAACACGTTATCAGCACGACACTCTAATTTTCTTGAAAAAATTATATTTCTATCTCAACCAAGAATTATATGTTCCATGTGAATGTGATAGCAATATATTAAAAGTCTAAAAGACGACAATATGACTTTATGGCTGAACATATGAATATAGACATAAAGGGACAAAATAATAATAGTCATTGTTATAATTATAAAAGAAAGAACATTACGAGTTCTCAAATTGATCCTTAGAAGAGTGAAAATAATTTTTGTCATCAAATTTGATATGAAAGGTATTAGGCAAACGGTTGATATGTAA